TTAAAAATGAGTAGAAAACCGATTGATTCAGTTAGTTTGTCCAGAATTTTGCCTTGCACTGTATGTAATTAGCAGTAAGCAGGGGAGACCATCAGCAGCTTAAAACAGAGGTTGGAAACTAAAAAGATGGAATTTGGAATATTTATGTTCATTACTTTGCTGATTTTCAGTTATTATTTTATATTTCCCTGGTCTTCTCATAAAAGGCTTTTCATTTTATGACTAACCCTAATAAATGCCCATAAAATTTCCATATCATAAATAATTTCGTTTTATCTGTGCTGCTGACACTCAGGGCCCAAGCCAAAGGTAAAGGAGGATGATTTCGGGGATCTGCTCTCAACTCAGGGTTTTGCTTCTAAACCTGACAAGAAGGGACCAAGGACCATTGCTGAAATGAGGAGACAGGAGATCACAAAAGACATGGATCCTCTCAAATTACAGGTAGGTAGCAAACTGAACACATATGTGAAGTCACTTTTATTTATATGCCACATTTAAAAACAGAAGTGCATTAAGATATAAATAAAATCTAAAACTCACATAACCATGACTGCAACCATAAGAGTTAAAAGGTAAATGTGCTAAAAACATGGTTACATAGAATTAAATTATTAAAAAATAAATGAATGCATAAAATTGGAAACAGTAACCAACTAATTAAGCTTTTATAACATCAACAAAAATGATAGAGACTTGTCTAAAGGCAGCAAAAAATTGGCAGATCTTTAGAAATGGCTTGAAATTTTCAGCTGTTAAATATGATTTATTATGTTTCATCTGTTTCATGTCTGCAGACAACAATGAAAGTCACTTTTTAGGCAGTAGTGGTGGGCTAACAGGAGATGATGGGAGGATGAGCTAAGAGACTTGTGGCAGAATATGTGAAGGGCATGTTGGACACTTACAAACACACAGTGTGTGGCCCTGGAGAAAAATCTAATCCTTGTGAAAAGAGTCACCATTGTCCACTGACACAAAAAGCCAGCCAAGGATGACGACCAAGAATCTCGGTTTCATAGAAAAAAAAGAGTCAAGCAATGATAATGTCAAAAACAACCAGATTTTCCAGTGTTTGCAATGTCATCCCATCTATATGCAATATCTGTTTATGAACTGCAAACAGCAGTGCACTACTTTTCTCCAAATCATCATTCAACATGCCTGGGCACCCAGTGAAAATTGTCCCCTTACTGGTGACTTTTCCATCTTTAGCCTGTGCTAATAATGCGGTGTGTACTGTGAGCAATCAACTGATTTCTTGGAAACGTGGTAGAGTTGTCTTTTGTTTTTTTTATTACAAAATCTGTTTGCATTGTTATTAAAAAAGAGTGATTCAAAGAATGGTCAGAATTGGACATCTCTGAGTTAATGAACATTTTGGGCTTGGCCACGTTTTTGCATACTGCGTCACACATGTAGCAGGTGATTTTACTAAACAACAATAAGATTGGGTACAGCTAGGATGCCTTTTGGCAGGTTAAACTCTGCTTTCATCAGCTCACTCATACAGTAGCCTCCAAGTAGTAAAGATTTGTTTTGTTATCATGCTGTAGATCTTGGACTGGATCGAAGGGAAGGAGCGAAACATCCGAGCACTGCTGTCAACTCTACACACAGTGTTGTGGGAGGGTGAAACGCGCTGGAAGCCTGTGGGCATGGCAGACCTGGTGTCAGCTGACCAGGTGAAGAAATACTACAGGAAGGCTGTGCTGGTTGTCCATCCTGATAAGGTACAGTATCAAATACTGTGAAAGTGCTTTAAAACGTAAAAAAAGGTGCAGCTCCTCTGTTTGTGAAACAACAGGAAATGAGATGAATCTCGAGTATGAGTTTACGGTCTTCTTTCAATATGAATGCTCTTGTTTTTCTGTTTTTAATTCAGTATTAAACTCCAAACCTTTGAATTCTCTTCAGGCAACGGGCCAGCCTTACGAACAGTATGCGAAGATGATCTTTATGGAACTGAACGACGCCTGGTCAGAGTTTGAGAACCAGGGATCCAAAGCACTCTTCTAAAATCCTGGCCTGGATTCCAGCTAGACCAGACCAGACCGGACCAGGCCGGACTGGATTTGGCCTAACAAAACAGGAGACTGGGCCAGATTGGACAGGACTGAGCCCACATTGGGCCTTAGGGGCAAAAAGCCTCTGAGAGGTGTCCTCTCTTCCATTCCCTCCCCCCTCCTTTACTTTCTTCTGTTTCTTCGATCAAAAAAAAAGACCTTTTGCCTCATGTCTGGCTGTAATGAAAGTTTCCTTGCTGGTCTATAAACAGCCAGTTAAATAAACATTGTGATCGGTCTTAAACTCACTGCCTACCTGCATGACTGCCTGAGTGGTGCTGCAAACATCAGGAGGAAGGATTAAACAACAATCACTGAGAAGACAAAGTGGGAACAAAATCAGATAATACAAGGACTAAAATTATCAAGACGACTATCATGATAGTGATATTCAGATAAAACACCCCAACACTAATACATTAGCTGTAGCTGAATAGTTAATTCATTTGTGCTCGACACTTGTGCAAACAACCGGTCCTTAGCTGAGTGGCAAACCTGAACTGAGTGTGGCTGTAAAATAGCTAGCATGTCAGCCAACATGAACGTTTGCAAAATGTTGTCCTGAAAAATAAGTTTTTATGTTTAGTTGCCTCAAAAGAGCCAATGCTGCTGCTGAATCATACTTGCTGTAGCAGGGATTGGATTTTTTTTTATAAAGATCCTGCAGTAATGCAGAAGTAGGATTTAAATCTCCCCAGGATTTTTAAACATAAGATCTATTGAAAATGACCTGTATTACCTGTACTGCTGCACCTTCAGGGGTGAAGGCTTCTTTGGAGTTTGTTCTCCAGACAATTGCCTGCTGAACACTACTAGTGCTGCTTGTACCATTCTAATTTATTTTGCTGCACACACTCCTGAGATTGATGTTAAATCATGCTATAAACTCAAGTGGGCAGTCTGTTGTTTTTGAAGTGCTCTTTTAATCCCTCCCACTCAAGCTACACCATGTAGCTAACTGCATGCTCTCCTACACCAGACCTCTAAACAACTTGAGGTAGTATGTTTGATTTTTTTTTTTTTTAAACCAGGGTAGTCCACATGGGCAGCAGCTTTTCTTCTTTTTCTTTTTTTTTGGATGAAGTGCTCTTTTTCTTGTAGCAGAAATGGAGAAGGGATCTCCATCGTAACTGTCATTAAGCCCTCTCTGTCTCTTTAAACTTCGCCCACCTCCAGCATTTAGTTTTGTTTTTTGCAAGAGGAGTAACTAAAGGATCGAAAAAGAGAAAATGGTGATTTAACCTAGTTGCTCTGTGTTTTCTTGTTTTTTTGGGGGGGGTCCATTCTGTGTCTGTGTCTGTTTGTCGATTAATCATCACTTCAGTGTAAATATGAAAGTACTATCCATCAGGTGGTTAAGAGAGCTGTTTTTTTTTTTTTTTTTTGTTTTTTTTAGCTTCATGGCTGGTTGTGTGAATGGTTGTGTGTGGAACATAAAGAAACCTTGTTGGATAAAATGCTTTCTTGTCTGCAACCACATTTTTCTTCTTAATTTAATTCTCAGCCTGTCCCGCACTTTGTTATTATTGTTGGTTCACGACTCTTTCCAACTCATTTTACCTTGTTTTCCCTTTTTTTTTCTTTTTTTTTTTTTTTTCTTTGTATTTCACATTTTACCTCATGGACCAATCAAATCACCTGTTTTCTTATTTATTACTATTTTTTGGGGGGGAGAGGGAGGGAGGAGGGGTTGGTAACATGTATTCGTGCATATTAATGGCACAAATTGACCTAATATATATATAAGTGGAATGTGATGAGTTGAAATGGGGAAAGTGGTTATTTGATCACAGTGAGCCTCTTTGTTACTGTCATTCCAAAGTATCAAATATCAATACGAATGTGCTTTTACAAATATATATATCCTCTCAATTGTTATGTGCTTATCAGTTGTCCATTCATTTGCCTTTTTTTTTTTTTTCTCTTAAAACAACTTTTCAAATTTTTGCTTCTGTTTTCCATTTTGAAATTTTGTTACCATTCAAACAAGGGGGCCAGCAAAATGAAAAGAGGTAAAAGTTATTTTGATGCTTGAAGTTTACTTGAGTCTCTCATCCACAATATGACATAACAGTATAAAGAGTGTTGATGGCAAAAAAACAAAAACAAAACTACACATCGCATCGGCAGTGTGCTGTACCAAATTACATCCTACTAATATGAATGTAGATTTCATTGCAAAAACAAAAAAATTAAAATCATTTTGACCTGAGGCAAATATTTGGTTGTTTTCTTTCTTTTTTGGTGGGGTAAGCGGAGCCTTCACATTCAGAACCAAATAGTCTTCTAAATTAGGAAAAGCTCATAAGTAACTTTAATTAGGCCTGGGCATGCATCCAGGATGGAGCTCCAGGAAACACAAGTGAAAGATATTTAACTGAAGCCAGGATTTTATCCGGTTGGAAGAAGCCAACAACAGAAGATAGAAGAAGGGATCCAGGCACGATGGATCCATTGTTTATGCCAGATTTTACATGTTGCAGCAGAAATTGAGATTCAGCAAACCAGGAAGTGTTTTTTCCAATCTTCTGCTATCCAGTTTTGGTGACTGTAACCTGTTTCCTGTTCTTATTTGAGTTACTGTTGAGTTACTGTTGCCATGTTCAAAGACGTGCAGCTCAGGTTGAAGTAGCTTGCAGACTTCATGCTATTTATTGCAAATATTCTTTCACATCTTCTGGCCCAAATGCAATTTCTGAAGCTTTAGTCCCTCTATTATTTGTCTTTTTCAGCTGCACTCTCAGGAGATAAAAAAAAAAAAAAAAAAAAAAAAGAGTTTTACTAATAATTTTCTGGAGAAAACAGGCATCAAGTTCTTTAACAGTCACAAAATAAAACCCTATACAGACGTTTCGTTTTTGGAAGATTTTAAAATTGAAGTTCTTGTCAGTCCAGCACTGACTGATTCTCTGATAATAAAGTAAAATGCAGACATCCCAATCAGGTACAGCTTTATTTCAAAGTTTAGGTATGCCCATCAGCAGCCCAACAGCAACCCAATTACATTTCCCCTCCAGAACACAGACTTCAACATGAAACTGTAGCACATCATGTTGTCTAAATACGATGAATTGCAAATAGGAAAAGGTGAAAAGAAAAAAAAAAGAATCAGAAACTGACCTCATCCACTCAAAATCTGCCAGTGGCCAGTAAACCTAAAACTTCAGGATGTAGTTTTAGCATCACACTAACCTTAGTGCTGGCCCTTACTTGAGACAGAGACAGTTCAAGGACAGAGAAAAAGCTGTATGTATATATCACATATGGTGGAAAAATACTACTAAGCAGTAAGTCAGTGATTTTGAAACAAGTAACAAAAAACAACACGTTTTGAAAATGGGCCTAAGGAAAAACTGGAGGTGCATTCTTAAATGCTACAGTATTTACATGCATGTGTGGAAGCAGATGTTCTACAGAGATGGAGACGTGCTGACAAATATCAGAGCCTGTCCAGTATGATTTGAGAGAATTATCACCGCTGCGGCACTTCTGCTTCCACTGCTAAAACAAAATCATTGTACGTGGTTTTGGGGGTAAATGCTGTATAAAAGGAGCCACAATATGTTTTATTCTTCTGCTCCCTTGAATGCAGACATTTTTTGCATGTTGACATCTGGTTTGATGTTATAACAGAAACCAGGGCAGGAAAAGGCACTTCAAAGTGTGGATGTCTCTTCGATTTCCTGGCAGTCCGGTCTTAAGCCTTAAAAAATGAAAAGGTCAGCTGGTTGTCTCCCTGCAAGCTTCGAGTCCTCCAAAAGAAAAAATGGGGACTCTGAAAGAGACACTGAGTCATTTGAAGATCAGAAAGTAAAAAATAAAATAAAAAGAAATAATAAGAGTCCAGGTTAATGATGTACTTTGAGAGACTTACAAATAAAAATAGATCTTCTGATCTCTGTGATGTGGCTCTAGCCCTCGATAGAGACCTCTGGAACAATGTGTGCATTCAGCGCCGTCTCCACTGGCATCTCCTGTTGATAGTATTGACAAGACAATGTCAACTAACAACTAATAACATTAAGCTATCGCTCATCTCTGAATACCTTAGAAAAGCCATACTGGAAATGTCTCATTTTTAACTTTAATTCTACTCAGTAAATTTACAATGCTCCTTAAAAAAAAAAAGTATTACCACTGAACTGAGCTGCACAGACTCCACAGAGATTTCCATCTGACATTCCACATCACGGATTTCTGACTTTGACGCTTCCGACTGCCTGTCCAGACATTTTGACTCTGCGGCATCCTGTAAAGGAAGAGAGAGAGAAAAACTAAGGGAAGTTCCCAAAATATATGCTTAAGAAGACAGCGTTCCATACAAAGCTACAGTATGTGAATGTTAAGAAAGTATAATTACCGTGTGTTCTGCAGGTGCAGCAGCAGGTTCAAACTCAGAAGTTGTCACATCCACGGAGTCTGTTTGGGCACTCAAAGTGTCATTCACGGGTAAGATTTCCTAAATGCCACAGAAGAAGGGTATGTTAGATGGCTAAACAAATTGAGCTTCTGAATGAAACACAGTAAAATCCTCCTGCCCATTCCATTGAACAGACTAAAAGAGAAAAATTACTTACAATGAAAATAATGCATCAGGATGGAACCAGCTACCCAAATAATTTAAAACTCAAGTTCAATACACTCCAACTGGGCACAATTTTAAATAAAGGAAGAAAGCATCCTTGTGACATGGTGTTCAAATGTAACAACAGGAACAACGGCAGTTTTTCTGTCTTTATCATGAACATTATACTGCAGGTTTTTGAGCAACTGCTCATAATAATTAACAAAAAAACCCAGAATAATTTTAACGTTTTTTAAAAAAAAAAAATCCTTGTATTATAATTTAATGTATCATTTTAACCATATATTTTTATGTTCTTATTCCTTATTTGTTTAACACTTAGACCCCCGGAGAGCAGTCATTTTGGTTTTCTACCTTAGACCCCTGCGGAGTCATCATTTTGCGTTTCTACCTTTAAAAGCCGGAGAGCAGTCAGTCAAATGCTGGAGTCGTTCATATGTATATTAGGTCGTTACCTAGGAATTCTGGAGGGAGGGGAGTGGGGGTGAGTGATTGAGGGGGTGGGGGAGTGGAGTGTTGCATGATGTCTTGGAAGCGGTTTCGTGCCATAGTTCCAATTATCTGTGGGTTTCCCAGGTTTGCTGACCAGCAGTCATTTACCGATGGAACCCTGTAAACCCCCCGCAAGATGACAATTGCAATAAATGCCATTAGTTCAGGGAGGTCCATGAACCAATGAACATGCTCCATGCACCACTCAGCAGGCCATTTGTAAATATGTGTACAAATGGTTGGTTTTTTGTACTGTTTTCATCAATAAATGTCAGCAACAAAGGACATACACCCATGTGTGTTGATTTCTCCCTAAGATGGCAAACTGAAACACTGAAACACTCCACTCCCCCACCCCCTCAATCACTCAGTGAGTGATTGAGGGGGTGGGGGAGCTGCTAAAAGCGGTGAGCTTCCTTTTGTGTTTCATCTTGATGCATTCTCAATCATCCAGGGAAACAAATCTCCAAAAGTCACCAACTTGGAGTGTTTCAGTTTGCCATCTTAGGGAGAAATCAACACACATGGGTGTATGTCCTTTGTTGCTGACATTTATTGATAAAAACAGTACAAAAAACCAACCATTTGTACACATATTTACAAATGGCCTGCTGAGTGGTGCATGGAGCAAGTTTTGGGTGGCTTGCGACCTAAAATCCAAGTACACAGATGCAAAAAAAATCAGGCCACTGTGCGATGTGTTCACTGCTACAGGTACACATGTGGTAAATGCAGACGACAGATACCGTGGCAGTGCCAGGATTGTGAGTGATTGCTGAAAATGTTGAAATGTACTCACTCACTTTTTATCATTATTTGTAAATATGTGTACAAATGGTTGGTTTTTTGTACTGTTTTCATCAATAAATGTCAGCAACAAAGGACATACAAAGGACATGTGTTGATTTCTCCCTAAGATGGCAAACTGAAACACTCCACTCCCCCACCCCCTCAATCACTCACCCCCACTCCCTCCCTCCAGAATTCCTAGGTAACGACCTAATATACATATGAACGACTCCAGCATTTGACTGACTGCTCTCCGGCTTTTAAAGGTAGAAACGCAAAATGATGACTCCGCGGTCAATTTAGCCAATTTAGCTTCCACTTCCACCATTTGACTGCTCTCGGGTTTTATAGGTAGAAAGGTAGAAGCCTGGGGATGCTAGTGTTAATTCTGTAGTCTCAAGTGTGTAGATACGATTTCAAGAAAGACTTAAATCGGACCCTAAATGTCCACAGTCTGAAAATCTAATTTCATTACCTGGAACTACACTTAATTTAGCATCACGCTATAATAATACTACTACAGTACATAAGCATTTAAATATTTACTACAAGATACATTTAAACTGCACTCCAGCAATGAGATTGCTTCATATGATGGAGAAACATATCCCCACCTTCTTTACCATAAATAACACCCAGGATTAGTCTATAAATGTTTGCCTTTCCTTCTTGTGTCAGTCACTTGTAAGCCTCCTTTAATTTCAGTTAATTTATTTGACCTGATCAGCCTTCAGTGATTTTCTGAACGGTTCATATGTACACTGGTAAATTCCTGTTTGCTTAGCTGTCACCTGCTGGACAGCAGCAGACTCAGTGGCAACTTCTACTGCCGAGACGGATTCTGTCACAACAAACTCATCAACTGCTGTGGCATCAATCAGCATTGCCACAGCATCCTGAATGTCAAAGGAGAACAAGATAAGAGAGAAAACTGTTCTTGTAAAATAATTAAAATAATGGTTTTTAGCATATGAGCAGTACATTTCTGTATTGAGGATTACATTTAAAATCTTTTTACCTCTTTGGGTTTAGCCTCTTGTGCTGTAGCCTCAGGGCTGGTGTCAGGTACCTTGTGAAACACAGGTGCTGATGTCATTGCTATGTCATATATGGAGATTGTACTTTTTTTTCCATGCAAAAGCTGCCAAATAATCTAAAACACAAGTAATAAGGGAATTTCTACTTTACTTTTTTATCGACAGAGAGGGAAAAATACTCACTGCAGCCGCCTCCACAGAATCAACAGGAGTGTGCTGATGTAAACAAACAAAAAAACAAACAGGACAGAGTGTATCTTTAGTCTTTGCTATTAAATTTTGGAAAAAAAAAAACCTTACCCTTGTGATCGTTTGTTCTGCTTATGACAAACCTTTCATTAATATATAGGACACATGCTATACAAACAGAAGATGGCTGCAAAATGTGAAAAAGTCAATGTATTCTTGTAAAGACTAAAAACACAAAAAGAGAAGAAGAAAGTATTTTCATCAGGTGTCACCTCTGTTTTTATAGCAGTCTCAGAAGGGACTTCGGGTGCATTCTCCTCTGCCAACACCTCTTTACCATCTTCAGCAGCTGGGGTTGTAGGACTGACAGCCGCTTCAGTCACTCGTTCGCTCTCAGGTACATCTGTGACAACCTCCACCACTGATTCAGCAACAGTCTCTGTAACCACCTTGCCCAGAGGAGGCTCTCCTTCAGCAGAAACTTGGCCACCGCTAACTGCATCTCCCACTGTTTTTTCAGAGGCTCGTGTCACAGGCTCTGGTACGGCAATATCTTCTGTGGCAGCCACCTCCACTTCGACCTCAGTCACAGCACCTTTCTCTGCCAGGGCCTCAGCTTCTTCCGGTCTCTCACATTTATCCTCTGTCTCCATGTGCAAAATCAACACAGAGCACATTAAAAAACATAAAACACGACACCGGAGAGAAGAAACAGTGACTCTTGGTTTTTTTTTTTGTCAGTTTAAAGAGTACAGTTCATACAGAACAAAAGTACATTTACTTAAAATATACCATCATTTTTGTCGTTATGATGATGCAATTTTAATGTCAAGACATGTTTTACCTCCTGCGTCTCAGTTTTTATGATCGCAGAATCAACTGTGTGAATCTGGAAAGGAACCAAGAAAAGGACACTTAACAGCCAACTTTCATTATGAATGACTGACAACTGAATTAATCAGAACACGGTTAAAGGTTAAATCTATCACATTTATCATAATGTTTACTCCTGCAGTTCAAATGAATAGTTACAACTGCAGTGTGTATGATATATAAAAAGCCCGAATAACTGTAATCTTGGGTTGTTTTGATTCCCATTTTCTCATTTCTCAGTTCATTTATATCGTTCGTATATTAAGCTGTTTGCAGATCAATGAAACTGTAAAGAAAAATATGATTCTTTTCTCTGAAAACTTTTGTTCTTGAGCCAGATTGTGATCTGAGTGCTTGCATAAGAGGAAATTGTCCTGAAGGAAAAAGCGTAGCTGCTATTTATTCGATGTGAGGCTTAAGTCACAGGAGTTTTCAACACCTTTCTGTTGAAAGAATTGTTTCTTGTTCAGTGACTGCTGCTATGAACTTGTAAAATATGAGTGGAAACTGTGCGTCAGACTGTTTTTATGCATGCCATCATTTCTGCAACTGTTTAGGAGTCAGCAAAACCAGCACATACACAGATCTATGTGTCTGTAAAATGTAAACTTTGTATTTAATCTATGCATTTTACTTTTTAAACTATAAATTTTTGCAACTAATTAACAAAACCAGTGTGCTTTATTTGTCTATTAAAAGTTGACAGAGCATGTTTGTGTGAAAAATGCCTCCAGGGGGACCTTTAACCTAAGAATTCCATTTCCATGATGTGCCAATTCTTTTAGCTCCCACTGAAGAAAAATGTTCTATAGTATCTACATAAGCAGCTCAAAAATCAAAGTCTAGCTCACTTGTAAATCATCAAGTTCAGCTTTTGTTCAACTGTTACATGATTAGTCTGCTTCTGGCTTAGCCTAAAGATATAACACACTAGTGTTTGGTTTAAATGGAGACAAAAGAGGGTGTATGTGAATAAAAATACACATTTGATTTACCTCAGTTTCAGAGGCAGCAACCACTGAAGCTTCAGATGAGGGTGTGACCTATGAGCACAAGAGGTTAAAGAGTTTATTCACAAGTTAGCAAAACATGAAAATACACATGCTTCATCCAACAAAACAGAGTGTAGATGGAAAAAAGAACATAACCTGAAAAAAGGCACTCTGGGATACGTTAACAAGTATATCAGGCAGTTAAAAATATGTGCCTCTTGTTGCACTGGAGCCAGTATTGACTTTTTAAAGGTTGAGCTTTGGGAGGGGCACACACCCATATGCAGCAGTACTAAAAATGTGCCCAGAGCCAAATAATCTTCTATAAAACGGTTCATGTGGCAGATCTGTAGCTGTGATGGGCCTGAGGATAAACTGCAGCTCGAGTCTTTTCTGTACCCAAAAATGGAAATATTTACCAAAATTAGAAGTGGAATTTGGACTGGCTTTCTAAACAAACACAAACACAAACATACGCACTCCCCTTACACTTTGTGTGAGCATAGCTGTAGCTGGGCAATTACAGGGGTATTACAACCCAATGCCATGAAAAACAGTTATTCCCTCTTTTTGCTTCCCTCTGTATAATCCTGCAACAGAAAACACATTCACATCATGAAATCTGTGTTCTCCCTCAAATCCTTTCAATACAAAACTACTAAAATTTTAAATATTAAAAATGTTTGGTTCCATCTTTTTATTATAAACTACATACTGTGAACATGTTGCCACTGGAAAAACAATCAGATATTTTTAATACTGAAATGTGTTTGAATGATTACATGTTTACCAGAATACAATAAATGTCTTGCAGTTTACACTGATTTGCAACCATTTATTATTCACATCACAATATTGTTATATTACTCATAGGCGCGGTTATTTTCCAGACAATGATTCACCAAACAGCTCACATAGTGATAGAATTCATCCATATTTTTCCATCTTGCAGCCATGCTGCCAATGGCCAGTGGCACACCAACTGTGCAACCAAGTGTGTTGAGCTATAGTGACAATCACAGAGAGCGGCGTATAAATATTTTAAATCTTCATAGTCTGACTCAATTATTTAGTCTGTCTTGTGCCAGTTCTTCTTCAATATAGGGCAAAGTCTACTGCAGGCTGCTAATCAGCAATATGAGTGTTTTTTTTGTCCAGAATCACTCAAACTGATCTATTTGGACATTGAGTGACACACGACAACCTGATAACATTCAAAGATATCTTACTACCTCCACGTTTTTCTCCATCCTCCAGGTACTGTCATTTCTTTAACTTTAAAATTTTTTTTATTTCATTAAAAAATAATTTTGTACATTATACATTGCTAAGTGTATAATTATGTCCTTAAAGAAACAGATGCATGCTCATGAATTCTGAATGTATCTATTGAAAATACAAGGGAACTGGCACCGGTTTTTGGAGGTCGCCATGTTGCCCCGCCCGAAATGGACATCGTGTTTCCTTCTAATTTATATATGTGGCTAGAGACTGGCCACATATGTCGTACGCTAACGACAGAGGAGAAAAAGAACTCGTATTGGTTTGTGTACCTTCAAGGCAAATTTTAATTCATATTTCTATCTTCAGACTCAAGATATGAAGAATCGTACCTATCTTTTACCTCTTTAGAAGGGGTCCCCTCCACCAAAGAAGCGACAAGATGACCTGCATAAAATGTCAGACTTCTTTCTCATCTCAAGCCTCATCTCCTGAACTGGCCAGCACTCAAACGCTCAAAAATGTGCATTTTTATGTGTGCAGATATTATAATTACTTATTGTCAGCAGATTAGATGTGTGACCCTACTGTCTGTCAATAAGCCAGGTAAACAACAACAGCAGCTGGTTGTAGACCAATATTATCCAAGTAATGTCCAACAACAAGTCCAACAATCATAGATCCACTTCAAACAAAATTCCACTAACAGTGGCAAATACAGCAATGCTAACGAACAGAGAAGTTCATGTTCATGCTAACTCACCTCAGAATAATTATCATCAGAGAGGAGTGAGCTTCAAGTCATATCGGACTCCTTTTACTGCCTCCTCCACAGTAAACAGACATAGGCACCAGCAGAGGTAAACAGGGAACTGACAGCCTATGCTCACTACAGATGATCTACTGCCAGAGTTGTTTGTCCTACAGTGGCTACCATAGCTAGGATTATGCATTTGAACTGGGAGAGGTAAGAAAACAGAATTCAGATGACTTCAGTCTCCATTTTACTGACATCTTGGGAGATTTTGAACACAGTAACTTTAACAATTTTTTATTTAACTCTGATAGATTATCAACCTAGCCTCTGAGGAAAGAAAGCAGTGGTTGCACAGTGTCTATACATGCCGAACAATTTCTTCCAGCAACAAAACAGCAAGTACTAAATGGATTTGCACAAAGATCAAATTCAACAGTCTTTCTAAATCAATTAGAAATGATTCATAACAGATTATTTTTATTTTTTGGAACTGTGAACTATGCAAAACATCACTAGTGATGGAACGAAAACATGAAGTTAGAATTGAGCATAATAGGTCCATTTACAGGGGATGGGATATTTGTATGTACAATATTTTCTTCATTTTAAAGGTCAAACTACACACATATACAGACACACTTCAAACAGACAAATTTCCTCCCAGCATTGAATTAAATATTCAGTATTCTCCAGCTCTCAGCCCACCCAGCAAAGAATCAATTAGACATGGAACATGTAAAGGTTCAAATCACACGAGTTCATAAGGGATCAAGCTGACACAGAATACTAACAGAAGTGAGGAGAAGCAGCATGCAGAAAGGAAAGGAAAGAAAATGAGAAGGAGAAGAGAAAAGGCAGAAGAGGATGAGAAATAGTCATAAAGAAAGTGGTGAGAGGCTAGAAAGTGTAGAGGCAGAGCAGATTTATGAGGAAAAGAGGGGTAGCAGATTGGACAGGAGAGGAGTGGAAGAACATAGGAGAGGAAGCAGGAACAAAATGTTCAGCCTACACAGAGGGTGAGTTGCACTGACTGTTGCTTCAGGCCACAAAAATGTAAATGCACTCAGTCAGTCTGTAGAATCCGCTGTGAGTTTATACTTTCTGCTGCCACATCCAGAGGTGGTGGGGCGTCTCTTGGGCCCAAGGGGCACCTGAGTTAAAGCCCCATTAAACCTCTTGGTCAGTCAGCTGACCAACTGTCACCATCTGTGGACTTGTGATGTTACAGATAAAAGTCATAGTTTTAACAGTGCAAGTGAAAAAGTTGTCTGCGAACAAACGTTGATAAATCTCAACAGAATAACTTGCAAATTGTCTCAAAATGTAAAAAAGTTCATAAAATAGACATTAAATATTACATTATTAGAATGACAGTCAATGATGATACATTTAAAATTTTGCATAAATGTCCAGTTTTTGTTATCTGACCTGAATCTGGCATGGTGAATGGAAGCAAAGTCCTGAGACAGTGGAAATGACCACAGCACTACAGTATAACTACACAATGGCAGGCAGTCATTCTGTAGAGATGTCTGTATGCTGCCTGTAAGGTTCAGTGGGCATAACCCATAGAGGGTTTACAAATAGAACTCCTAACTGAATGGCACAAGTGAAGTGAATAAGATGGACCCACTGGAAAACTGGGAAACAGTGTAACTCTGAGTGAAGTCTTAACAAAAGGCCATGCTATAAATACTGTAGCACTGCCTCTCCCCTCTTATTTTAGGCTAGGCACACATGTGAGCATATACATGTACACCATTGGTTGTTATCTATCCAGACATTTTTTTAAAACTGCTTATCTAACTAGGGTAGAGTAGGGCTGAAATATAGCCCAGTTAATACTGGGGAAAAGGTTTTTGCTCAGTTGCTGGAAGAGAAGCCGCACAGATTTGCATGCATGTGCAATTTACTGACTAAAACAGAACATCCTGTTCACAAAATATGTGCAAGATGGCTACAAGGCACAAAGCTCAACTTACAATTTAAAACTGCAAATAGTAAATTATAGATGAGCTAGAAACAATGTTGAGAAAACATTACTGCATAGAGGAAAACTGCAGAAAAAATTGCAACTATTTAAAATTAACTGACAACAGCCATCCATATACTGTAAGCTTTTTAATTGTATCCACAATCTTCTCTGACTCAAAACCACATTATGTGATGGCAAAGATAAAACGAATGCACACGATGTAACGTTTTAAAGATTTTCTCACAACACGATAGTAACCAAAAACAAGTAACTGATAACAAACTCAATATCTGTGATAACAAATAAGCCTGTTCAAAAAACAACAACAACAAAAAACATGCATGCTCAGAGTCACTATTTTGTTTTAGTGTAGGTGATAATGGCCATTTAAAAAGTTGTTCCCAGTGTTTCAGTCTCTCTCCTACTTTCCACCTTTTTGCTAAATAGAACATGTTGTTCCCTTCGCTTCACTACCTCCAACAATTCCAGCTCCCTTTTCCCATAAGGCCCCAAACACAGCAAATACTATTTGACCTGGCAACATCAGAGAAATAGAGAGAAACCATCTACAAAAACAGCCTGTTTCCATATAATCTCATACAAACAATATGTAATTTTGATCCCAGTGACATTCATTTAAAGGAAGCATTCATTCACCTATGAGTGGACCTCATTCACTCATATGTCCATAGAACTATATTTCTGATGAAACGTGCACACTGGTAAATTTGATTCTTACTGCAACTTACCAGGCTTGTAGAAGATGTTGACAGTTGCTGATTGCTAAAGCCCCATTCACTCAGGCCTAGAGATTGGTCAGCAGCTCCCAGACAACTGCTGGCCTGTAGGGAAATCTGTGTGTTCTGCAACCAGTTGGCAAATGATTGCTGGCAATGGCAAAGAGGTATATGGTGCTCGACCAAGATTGTTTTAGTCCCTAGCAGATTGTCAAAGCTACTAGCAGTGTGCATGGAAAACGATCACTTGTTTGTAAACTACTCACCAAGCAGTAGTGAAACTAAAAAGTACAACACAACCCATTCACCTTTATAGTAAAAGTTTTAGAATTAGCAACCTCCAGAAATCACTTTCCAGGTCGTTAAACACAAATTTCACCCAAAGTTGCCAGAGGGTCTCGAGGGCTTTGTGACTGAAGCTTAATGTATAATGTCTGACATTAAAACCAGAAAAGACAAACGATCAATCTTTCCCTAAGGTGGGATAGCTGCAGTAGCGGAGGCAGTGATCCCCATGCCGGGTGAAACATTAGAACTGTTGACTCTGGCATGCGAAATGTTGGAAATATTTGTAGACATGATTTAAGTTTAGATTTCTGCATACAGAGGCACATGGGAGACTTATGGCTGCGATATCTGTTTCTTACCTCAGTTATTGGTTCTGTTTCAGGAATCTTGGGTTCAGGCTCTTGCACTACATTAGCTTCAACTGTAGAGGGCTTCACTGATGGAGTCTCAACAGCTCGTGCTTCTACAGTGACAGGTGTTGGGATTTCAATCTCAGCTGTCACTGGAGTCTGCTCCAACAACACAACCTCAGACTCTGGTGCCTGTACTTCATCTGGAATGGGCTTTGCAACAGGTTCTGCTTTTGGTTCTAGTTTGGGAGTTTCTACAGTAGGAACAGCAGCAGGAATGGACCGTGAGATCTTTTCTGGAGCAGGAGCAGGAGCTGGAGGTGGAGCTTTAGCCGCTTTTTTTGTGGTTCCTGCAGGGGGTGCACTCACTGCAATCCCCCGGCTGGCTTTCACCGGCGGATTGGCAGCATGTTGTTCTTCAAGTGCTCTTCTCTGGGCTTGCTGCAGGGCAGGAAAGACACAATAACATCTGATTACCGTTCTGATAGTAGTATGAGATAGTGATGGGTCATTCGCGAACGAAATGGCTCTTAGAGCCGGCTCTTTGACGTGAACGACGCGAGCCGGCTCCTTATCGCGAGCCGTCACGTGGGTTTTTGTTTTTTTCTTTCTCTCAGCCTCTCTCTCGCACTTTTTTTCCGCTTCACTCTGCACGCGAGCCTTGTGCTTTACGCTGGGCAGAGGGGGGAGGGGCGGTAGTTACACTCAGTAGCACAGGAACAGAGCCAGAGAGAGAGAAAGAGAGGCAGGGACAACAACATTAGAAAGGTATAGTAATCATCCACAACTATTTTCAGTTGCAGATGATAAAGGATTGAGAAAGTTTATTCATGCAGGTCCATATGACAGAGATATGCATGTTCTTTTTGTTTTCATATTATAATTTATATTTAATTGTGTTGTGGTTTGCAGTGTTTTGTGTTCTTTTCACTTTAAATTTGTGAAAGGAAAAAGCTGAAAATTTAAATAGTTAAAACTTGAAATGTGAATAGTTGAGTTTTGTATTATATGATTTATTTATTACATTTTATGTGGAGTGAATAAATAAAAGTATATTTACGGTGGCCCCTAGAGACAAAGCACATACAAACTTCAAATCACGTACGAACTCTGAAGCATGTACAAACTCCAAAACACGTAAAAACACGTACAAACTCCAAAACACGAAAAAACTCCAAAACACGTACAAACTCCGAAGCACGTAAAAACTCAGAAGCACATAAAAACTCAAAACACGTACAAAAGACAACAGAAGTGCTCCAGGATGCTGGGCGCAGTGTTGAGCCTTTGTTATCTTGTGGCTACACAAGCCAGCAAGTACCAACGACCGGATTTGGTGTGTGATAGTAACAGGTAGATGAACTTTTTTTTAAATTATTTGAATATATATATGAGTGCCTGTGTATAAATACACAAACAATACACACATGCTTTCAATTGTGTAATTTAAGTGATCTAGTAGCTCTGCTTTGGAAGTTCAGTTCATGCTAGAAATGTGTTTTGGAGTTTGTACGTGTTTTGTCTCTAGGGGCCACCGCATATATTTATATATAAACATATATAAATAAAACCACTTGTTTTTATGTTAGTAATTCCTTTTGTGCATAATTTTATATTATTGTTAATAATAAATTAATTAAAGCAACAAAACAACCTGAAGAGCCGGTTCGGAGCTGAAAGAGCCGGCTCTTTTTAGTGAGCCGAACCGAAAGAGCCGGATCTCTAAAAAGAGCCGGAAATCCCATCACTAGTATGAGAGGCATTATTTAAGTTTTTGGGCATACAGTTATCTTAACCCTGACATGTAGTTGGCTCATGATAACATGAACTGATATTTTCTCTCAAAAAAGTGATTATTGGAAAATACAAAGTTTGCGAACATTTGCCTTTCCAAGCAAAACAAAAGTGACACTTCATTTATAATGGCTTCAAAGACATGTTCAGTATGTAAAACAAGATAATAAAAGATAAAAGTGAAATACAAAGAAAGGCAAATGACAGTGTATGAGGTATAGATGTTCTTGAGGCTTTATCGTGTTCAGATACTGATGTTATTGTCACTTTAGCACCCAGGAATACCAGGCATGCCATACCAGCCATGTCCAACATATTTTTTAGCTTTGGACAAAACCCCCTCAGGCTTTGATGGAGGTTTTAGTAGTACAGACCACTAGAGGGAGGGGGAAACTGGGAGTAGACACAGCAAAGCTAGTTAGATAATGGGAGCTAATTAGTTGAATCAGACCGGTCCTGACAGGTTTGGTGAAGCGGGAACGGAAACCGTGCGAGTCAGCAGCACTGATGGGTGCCCCGCGGGCCAGACAGTGGGGCTAATCACATCATAATCAGGTTATAATCAGGTTACAATCACTCCCTGAAAATGCTTTTGTTAGGCTGAAGGCCAGTAAGGTATTCGCAGTGCTGCACCCATGCTGTAAGCCAAAAGCTCATGTGTATGAAAGCGCATATATCTCTGAGTATCTAGCTAGACACAATCAAAACAACTTCTGATTTTTGCCCATAAATCACCTGTAAACATCCCTATGACAAAGTAATACATTGTTTCCAATGATAAAAAGTTTTAACCATATTTCTCAGTCTTTGTGAAACTGACACACATATGCACACATACAAAGGCATATGTGACCTGAGTATCATTCAGCTATATGTCTGAAAGTTCCAAAAACACGTTCGCTTCCTGTGCTCTGATACCTCTGAGGTAAAGCAATGATAAAATTGAATTGTGAATGACTTTAAGGGTCATTTTCATCTGTCACTGCCAGACTGTGGAAGAATGAGAGAGACAGAGTCCACTCTGGCTAAAGTGGGGCAAGACATTCCTTCAGTCAACACATTACCAAATACAGATGTGTGGTGTTCAGAGTCATGCACTGGTCAGCCAGCCAGAAGCTTAAGTTTGGTGGGGGTTAGGGGCAGAGGCAATGAGGAAGGATGCCAGAAGAAGTCTGCACTGAAAAGGCTTACCAGAGCTGGATGACTGGGCTTCAACAGTGTATCAGTGCATGCTTTTATTTTTTAGTTGTTGTTGTTGTTTTTATTAATATACATTGTTAATGATTAAACATATGCTAAAGAACAGTATTGGGTTATGGAGTATGGCGTCATTGATCTCCCTCCACACCCACCCCTCCAACACACACACACACACCCACACACACCTTTTCTGTCACACCCCTTTTCCTCTGGGCACTGAATGTTGAAAAGTTACATGTCTCCAGTCATTCGGCTGAATTAGCGTACAACTGGCAAAGCGAATTCATCATACTGAATTACAAAGAGCAGCACTGTATTGAAGTACACTGTGTACTGCACTGCATTGTGTGGCTTACTGTATTTTTGGTCCAGAACATGAAAAACAGGCAAGTGGTCATTTCGTAGTATATTTAAAAAATACTAGAAAATGGAACTTATCGCATTTTATGATAAGAAATTCAAGATGTGCATAAACGTTTAATCTCTATCCGTAACCTTAACAGAGCGCACCGAGAACATCCATTGCGCACAGGAGCTGAGCACAAAATCAACAATTTCTCTGTCTCTTTCTTCTAATATAGAAACCAGAAGCATGCTCGTCAAAATTAAAAATATGTGTGAAATTTATATGTTATTTATTTAGGTCCAGTTTTGGTACCTTTTTGGTACGGTCTTTTGTCGTTGCCAGATTTTACGCACGGGTTACGGAGCGTCTGAGAGAAGCAACGACAAAGTGGAAATCTGCCAAACAATCACCAAACTGACTTAAGTATAACAAAAATAAAATAATGTGCAAAAAAGGAAAGAAAATGTAAACGAAATTTGTTTTACAATTTAAGCACTCGCTTCATTCATTTTTTCACAGAGGCAAAAAGGCGTATTTTACATTTAAATCCATGTTTTTGCAGACCATTATTTTACAGTGAATTGAACAAAGAAATCCCATAATACTCTATACTTAATTTAAGAATAAACGCCTGACGTGCGCATGCCACCACTTACCACCCTTCTCATACGACGCTTGTTCTTCTTTCTCTTGCTGGGCATCTTGGTGCGTGCTGAGGAGAACGAGGATAAACCAAAGAAATGGAACAAGCAGAGAGGCAGAGTGAACAAAGTGGATGTTTATAAAGCCGACTGTCTTTCTGTTACCTCTGTACCGAACCTATAGGAGGACTTGGATAAAAGATAGGGGCGTGGAGAAAGAGAGAGGAAAGAGAGAGAGCGCGCGCGCACGAGAGCTCAGTCAGTTGTTTGTATTGGAGTTGGTCTGCCTAGCTGGATGTCGAGTTCTGTTATGTAACCACTCCATCAAAGCAGAGAGAGAGAGAGGTGCGAGGTTGTGCGGTGCCACACCCCCTCCTCTCGATTTGTTAGAAATACTTTGACGCAAATGGGAACACCGACGCACTTGATCTATAGTTTTCTGTCCTGTGAGACTTTTAATGTGTCGCTTCTGGAACAGAACATAAACATAAAAAGAACAAAAAACATCAACAATCATTATAACCTAAAAGCCATATTTGTTGACAGAACAACCACAAGAGGAAAATACAGTCAGGCTTGTGCAGAAAACAGTGAAAACAGCCTCTGTCAGTCTTTTTTGAATACATTAAAATCATGAAGCCAAATAATAGTGTTCATTGTGCTCGTTTTTCATGCAGAGAATAAAGAGAAACAAAGCTTGTACATGTGTCTATGCCCACCACCCCCCTGGTCCCTGCATCAGTTGTGAGAACCCATTGTTTCCAGTTCCTTGTGTAGCGTTGTGCCAGTTATTGTCCAATTTAATTAAATGCATAAGTTCCATAAACATATTTTATACTTCCCGTATGTTTTACACTGATATGGATGTTTGCGTTCAGTTTTCTTATCTGAGAACGATTTTAGTGTTTGGCCGATGCTAATAAACTGATAAAGCAATTTGACAGCATACACTGTGGCAGTTTTTGCTGAAGCCTTGCTGCTTGAGTTACTCCTCAAGAGTGTGCAGAAGAGTGCAACAGGCAAAAAATTATTTTATTACCAGAAGCATGCCTATGCTAATATTTCCATTCAAGTTGCTGTAGCTCTGGAAAACCTCAGTCAGTAAGGTGGATTTTCTCGACCTTTGAACAGGAACCACCAACCAAACAGCAAATCTTACAATAATCTGAGATTATTAAGTGTAGGTGAAAGTTTATTACATTGACTAAATTATATATATATATTTTTAAAAAGCCCAAGGGAATAATAAATATACTGTGCTTTTCTTTTATGTTTTATTTTAGGTTTCTTAGCTAATTTGTAAGGCAGACATGCAGTCAAATATCAGTAGATTTTAGGTTACGGTCCCATTACCACTGGTCAATTGTTGTTCAGTCTCGACAAGAAAGTGATGAAGTAGGCCGAGTATTTCCAGACAGCATACAGACATTTTCTCTCTCACCCCTTAGACAACCAAATGTTTCTCAAGGGAGAGAGTTCATGAAGATATTGTGGATCAGCTGCCTCCAGCTCACCCTATCCCTGGCATCCACTTCTGTCACACCAGTCTTCTACATCTCCTCCATCACTGCATCCATGAACCTCCTCTGTGGTCTCTTCCACCTGCTCCAAATTCAGCATCCCTTGTCCAATATATCCTCTCTCATGTCCAAATAACGTCAGCTTTGTCTTTATAACTTTGTTTCCAAACCTCTCGACCTGAGCTGTTGTTCTGATCTACCTGCATGGTATTTGCATGGTTGATCACAGGTATTTGAACGTCCAGCTTCACTTTCTCTAATACTTGCATCATCACCTTTCCACCTGCCTTCATCTCATTTGCACGCATGCATTCTGTCTTGCTTCGTTCCTTTTTTCTATTTAGCACACCTCCACCTTTCCAGGCTCTAACAGATTAACAAAGACATGGTGACATTTTGAAGACTCTGCATTTCATGACCATATTTGGATGACAGGCTTACTGTTACGACCCTCCCACACTCATTAAAACCATGGTCTGCTGTTGATTGGCTGGCATGATAGGATCAGCTAATTTGTGTCGCCTGTGTCTTACAGAGTATACAAGCTGGCCCAGATAACCTGCTTAGTCTCTCTCTTTCACTCCACCTTACATCAGCTTTGTGTCTTGGTTAGGTTATCTTTAACAAGTTATTTTATATTTAAGTGAATTTCTTGTGTGAACTCCCTCCTTGCCACCGACTTTAATCCACTATGTAATACAATTTAAATTTTATTATTTAACCTTTATTTAATTTATTTAAATTATTATTTAAATTAACTGTGTATGTTATAAAGTAACATACACATAAAATACTCATTAAAGCCATAGGACAGACTTTTTGGACAGGCTGTTCTTTGTCTATAGTTTTATTAAAGTAGTCTGCAGTTTTTCGGTACTTCTCCAATGGCTGAAGTCTTCAGCCTTAGAAGATGCCCTTAATTTAAGTGAGCTGATTTTAGTTCCAAAACCTTGCAGTGTCATCCATAGGCATACTATGACTGCAGAAAATGGGATGGTAACTCTCCGTTAAGGCAGATGGAGCCCCTCAACAAGGGCTGACACACTTTAGCTATCAGCTGGTCAGAAGTGAATCACCATCTTTAAATAGATTCACAGTGTTTACCTGGGATAAACTGGGTTATCATGTCAGCACATGCTTGAATGTTGTGCATCAACAACACCCCTCCGAAGCTTGGCTCCATGGTTACCAGTCCTGTACTATTAATGAAACTAACGCATACTCACATGCAGACACATCAGAGAAAGACAGCCCAATGCTATTTTTAGGTTTGGGAGTTTCACCCACGCCCCAAGAGATATTTTTGGTTACCAGTTAGATACAATAATGCAGAGTTATGTACAGATACTTAATTGAAGCATTCATATAACATACAAATTCATTTCAATTTAAATGGGATCCAACAAGGATTGCCATAATTTGTTCGTAATTATGATTCTTTAATGTTGTATTTGATGTAGAACAGAGAAGATTCATTTTAACAATGAAGATAGTAAATAAGTAGCACGTCAATAACATAACTCATAACGTTTCCTTTTCAATTGTCAGCAACTGCAAGGGAATTTCAGAGTTTTATAGAAGTGAAACTGAAAACTGAAAGTTCATGACAGACATGTTGTATATAAAAAATTCTGTGTTGGGTTGTTATACGTATAAATATTATTTTTGTAACTGTCATGGATTTCACGTCTATTATTTTAGGGTCTTTACCTTACAGTATAAAGCGCCTTGAGACAACTGTTGTTGTAATTTGTTGCTATATAAATAAAATTGAACTAAATTGAACTGAACTGATTGTTAATTTTGTTTAAGGTGTGACTTCAAATGCAGGTTAGGTTTGGTTACATATCAGCGATTGGTACAACAAGTAGCACTCTGGAGTTCTGAAGCAGATCCAGTAATGAGTGTTTGCCTGAATCTGGTATTTTAGTATTGTTGCTGTGAACAAGGGCAGTTTTATCATCTTGTTAATCATGAATTAATCATACATTCACAAGACTACTGGAGGAATTCCATATTAGCTGGTTTTCCCTTTGTGAAGCTTGTTTTATTCTTTTGGATTTTTTTTCTAACTTAGTTGGACAGTGAAGTCATTTTTGTCATCTATTTGTTCAGTGATGTAGCATAGCAATACAAACTCAGAGTTTGTTGGTAAATTTGCTAAGTCCACCTTACAAACACGGGTTAATCTCACATGAAGAAGAATACAAACACAACCAGAAGTTTGGCAGCTGAATTTAAAAAGATGAAAAAAGAAAGAAGCTTGAAAAGGACAATGATCTCCTGCAACTCAGTATCCTGGATCGGAGGTGGCATGTGTCAGTGCGAATGTCAGTTACTGTGATTAGCAAACGAGTTCACAGATAGTGCAGGGAGTGTTCATTAAGAGTTACAGTCCCCTGATGACAGAGGCCAGACAAAGATAGCAGCACAAGGAAAGACCTGACAGAGCAATGCCAGGGACTCTCCAGTGCATGTTTGAGAAGCAGCAGACAAAGAGAATGAAGCAGGGGGAGAGGGATACTGTACACGACTGTCAGTCATCACAGAATATTTTCTTTCATTTCTTAGCAGTTCTCTTGCTCTAAACTTCTGTTCCGTCGCTGTCACATTCACATATCTATCCCCATGCATTCCTTTTTATATTATCTGCATGCTCCTCTCTGTCTGTGCAGCCTCAAGGGAGTTTCTTTCTCGAAATCCATCCCACATTTCTCTTTCAGAACAAACAGGGTGAAGACGTAACACAAGTGGACTGAAACAGTTTTAGCGGATTTCTTTGCAGTTTGGCTGAAGGACCAACCTCCAGAACTGCCCACATGTCAATTTAATCTAATTCTTTCAATTCAGTTTTATTTATATAGCACCAAATCACAGTAGAAGTCACCTCAAGGTAGGCATGTAGCATGTAGGGAGGCTAAGAATTACTTAAACCAGCAGCTGAGTTCCTTAAATTGTATTTCAAAATTGTTTACTAAACAAGGGAAGAAAAAATACTGCATTTCTCATTGTCTTTCAAATAAATTAAATGAAAGCTGAAGGGCACATTATATTACCAAACCCCATAGGAAGTCAGCCTTGTGAAGCTTCAGTCTACCGCAGGGGTGAATTCCCGCAAGTTTCATTTATACACTTCTTCCAGTGTTATACTGGGAACAGATAAGTGTGTGACACTCTTACAGAGAAACAGTTAGCTACATGATGTACTAGACCTGATTCTAACCAGGGGTGGCATAATCAAAGCCATTTCTTTACACACATACAGGTGTTACATTCTGTAATATGCACTATATATGGCTAAAACTATGTCAAATTCAGCAGGTAGAAGGTGGTACAAGATATAAAACTAGGGTGGCACTAGGGGTGGCAAGAGAATATTTTAAGGTGGCAAATGCCACCCTATGCCACTGCAGTAGATCCGCCCATGATTCTAGGTGTGCTTTGGAGAACAGTTAGCAGAAGAGCCACAGCAAGGCCTGAGAAAAGGACAGATTAGAGCTTACTTCAGCTTACTGAAAAGAGTGTTGTAACTTTAATTTCAGAGAGTGTTGCATAACTTTAATAATTTTTCTATCAGAGGAGCATAGAGAGTGCTTGGATTCAAGTTTCTTTGTTTTGTTTACCCCCTTAGGCAGAGTTAGTATTCAGCAGACAAGTCATTTATCCTTTTAATATATATTTCACAAATAAGACAGAGAGATAATCGTGTAAATATATTGCAACACGGAAAAAAATCCCAAACAACTTTGCTCTTATGTATTTAA